TGAAACCGCGTTGGTGATGCGGGTGTCGCGGGGAAGAGGGAACCGCGCTCGCGCTCGCCGCCGTCGCCACGCTCGCGTCCTTCCCGTTGCGCACGGGCCCACCCCGCCATTCCAACCGGCGCTATTGAAACAGCGGTAACTTTAAAAAATGCTTTTACGGAACCGCTATCGAACCACCAATCGAACCGATACAGCTAATCTGTCGAACCGATACACCTGTTCTGTCGAATCGATACAGCTAATCTGTTCAACTGATACCGCTGATCTGTCAAATCGATACCCCTGATCTGTCGAACCGATAGCCCTGTTCTGTCGAACCGCCTGTCAAACTGCATCTGTTTAATCGAATCGCTATTGGTCTTAACTACAAAGAAAATCATATTCTCTTGCGACCTTCATTAATTAGATATTTTATACGCGTCAAAGATAAAAATGAATGTGTCAGTATTCTCAATGTCGTGGTAATGTCACATAGTATGAAATCATCATCAAACCGCTATCGAACCGCCAATCGAACCCATACAACTGATCTGTCGAACCGATACACCTGTTCTGTCGAACCGATACAGCTGATCTGTTCAACTGATACCGCTGATCTGTCGAACTGCATGTCGAACCGATACACCTGTTCTGTCGAACTGCTTGTCGAACCACCTGTCTGTTCTATCAAACTGTTATTAGTTTAACTACAAAGAAAATCATATTCTTTCGCAACCTTCAATAGTTAGATATATTATACGAGTCAAGATAAAAATAAACGTGTCAGCATTCTCAATGTCATGGTAATGTCACGAAGACACATAGTATGAAACCATCATCAAACCGCCTATCGAACCGATACCCCTGTTCTATCGAATCGATATCGCTGATCTGTCAAACCGCCTGTCTGTTCAATCGAACCGCCTGTCGAACCGCCTGTCTGTCCAATCGAACAGCCTGTCGAATCGTCTATTGAACCTATTCTATCAAACCGCTATCGTTCCTAACCGCATAGAAATGTTCTTTCGGTCGCGATCATCGCCAGGTAGAAATTTTATCCGTGTCAAAGATAAATATGAATGCACACATCTCAGTGTAGTAGTAGTGCTATATACATATATGCCTGATATTAACTACAAGGAAAGGGAAAGAAATTAAAATATAATTTTAAAAATTTCACATTTTATTGATTATAATATTAAGATTATATATTTTATTATTTTATTTGATGGTGTGATCACCAGTTATAGATTTTAAATACATTTTGTAATGCGCAATTCTTAACATGTTTTCCACAGCGCATAGTATTAATAACACTTGGATTATTCAAAGAAACTACATCTTCGTAATCGGCATCCAGAGTTTCAATGACTACGCCGTCTCTCACATCAAGCATATCACCGAGCCATTCTCGGTTTCCTTTGACGTACACGATAGCCTCGTCGGTATTATCCTCTTCACCAAACACAGCTGTTGCAATCAGGCGTTTCGCCATGCTGTACGGAATCATCCCGTCTTCCCATCTCAATCCATGGTGATAAGCAATCAATCAGGAAGCGCCAGACTTGTCGAATTTTATTAAAGAATTCCATGGCATAAGACTCGCAAAAATGTAATGCGAAAGAACTGTACCTCTTCTCAGGACCGCCACTTCTTTTACGATAAATCTCTTCCCAACGGTAAATCCTTGCAGATCTACAAACGTTGGTACAATTATGACGACTAATCTATCGAAACTGTGTCCTCCTTGCGAAATGTCACAGTTTTTATCTCGGATGATGAGAATATTTGCA